AAAAAATAGTGGAAGAGCAAGTCCACGCATTTTAGATTTATTACGTAAGCAACCGTGTAAACGTTCAAGACACCGTCCATTTTAGCTACATTTCTAAGAGAAGAAGAAGAATGTCTAAAGGTTTTTTTTTTGTGTTTTCGACCTTTGAGAATGCCTTCGTGGCATTCAGAGGGCCGACACAATGAAGCGTTATTAATATTTTCGGGTTAGTACTTTAACTTTACCGACTTTTTACAAAACTTTATAGGAATTAAAATAATTGACAAACCATATGGTTTTGGATGTATATATACATATAAAATAAGAAGAAAGCAACGCAAATGAAAGCAATTTATCCTAAATATACAAATTATTTATCTAATTTATTTTTATCTTACGCTAATGCACTTTTTTTTTATATATAATGGGATTTGCAATTTTGGTTTATACCAACCAATATTTAGTGGGAAATAACAAACAAGCCGAAAACATGCCATTTATTTGAAAGTTGAAATTTCATCAATATTTATCAAACTGTTTTTTAGAGAGCGATAAATGGTAATTTCTACATTACGGGTTAATTAATACACAAAAATATGTCTAATATGTAGATCTACATATATCTAATCAATCTGCTTTATCACTAACCAATCAACAAGCTTGTTTACTTTTATATTAAGTTCTCCATTGTTATTTTTTTATAATTTAATTCTGTTTAAGTTTACGTTGATCTCTTTTTTTCTTTTTTAATTCTAAAATCATATGTTTTGTTTGCTTACATTATCCTGTAAAACAATATGGCAACGAGGCTGCCTCTTGTGTTTACCACTTGGGAGATTTCAATCCGAAAACGAACACGATGGCTGATTGTGTCAGCCCCTGAGAGGCTTTAACTAATGAAGGGTTAATACATATATGCATGTGTTTTGGAAGTTGAAGGCAACCTTCTAATGAAAACAGCATTTTAGCTCTTACCATTGGGAAAATCCACAGTTATTCCGTCAGAAGTACACTACTGCTACTCAAACTCGGAACCATTTTCACTTATCTTTACTTTCGGTTTCCAGATATTAATATAAAAACCTACTTAACAATTCACCCATGTACCACAGCATTCTTGACAATTTGGGTCCTCGCAGTTTGAGAGCTTACGTCCCAATCTTTTCTTTTTTTAAATCATGTCATCCAATCATATAAGCGTTTACAGTCAAATTATGAACCTCTTCTCTTTTTTACACTTTTTTACTCTCACACTTATACTGATAAGGAACTGTCCTTCATATGACACTTTATACTCATGTAATGCATTACTTCTTATACAAAGGAACTTACTCCTCGTCGTCCAGAAGCTCAAAAGCTGCTGATCGGTTTATCAAAAGGTAAGCTAGGTGTGTAAGGAATGCGTCGATAAATAAGCAAATAAATGTTTTCAATTTAGGTGGAATTTCTGAACATGACTGGTCAATCCCGTTTGAGTTATCGCGACCGTGAAGCCATTATGTGAAACTTACGTATACATGTCAACAGCAACAGCTACAAATTCTGCAAACCTTAGCTCACAGCAACAACAGCGTACACAATCAATTCCATAAGTTAAAATAAGTGACGATGTGAACATAGAAATTAATGAAGAACTTTCTACATTCAGAAAGGCAACAAAGCCGATCTGTACATAAGTTTATATATATGTAAAATAAAAAAAATATTTTTCAATATATTTCGATGAATCTAAATAAAAGCTTTTTATGTATTATTTATTTACTTTCGTTTTGAATTTAATTTTTATAAATGGACTTACCGTAGTGTGTATGGACGTTTGTATTTAAATCCGCTTTTATGATTCGTTTTTCAGTTGAACA